TGTGTCTGTCCTTTATGCCCATGTGCTCAACAGTTACCCACACTGGTCCCTACAACCTTGCATAATGTCCTGTCACACCACAAAGCTTCTGTATGACTTCTGGTACTCCTTTGTGATCTAGCACCTTGATTCTCACAAGGGTTTGCTGAGATGTAGAATCTATGACAAAGTTGCACTTTTGGCCATCCAGCTGTCCTGTCACGTAGACACTATGTATGCTTGCCATTTTACACTTAGCTGTTGGGACTTTCACAATGATGGTTGGTGGGCATCCCTCAACACCAACCACTACTGGTTTCCCCAAGGCTAACTTATTGGTAGTATTCTTCTTACTCTGGCTCCTCATATGTCCTTGCTCTCCACAGTTCCAACAACCTTTCTGGGTAGCAGCCTTTCCTGTCGTGGCATCTTCCCTGTGTTGAAGTTGCCAGCATTGAGCTCTCTTGTGCCCAGGTTTGTTACAGTGCCAGCAAAGTCTCTCAAACCTCTCTGAAAGCTGCCCTTTTCTGGCCTGGAATCCCGATGACTGTACCAACCTTGGTACCTCTGTGCTGGACTTAACATAGGATTCAAATTCAAGAGCTCTGGCCATTGCATCCTGCGTAGTAGAGGGGTGTGCTTGCTTTACTTGTATCTTCAGTTGTGGACTGTCTAAGTCATCTACAAACTGATCCCTCAGCAACAGCTTGAGGACATTGGGTGGTGCAGTTGGGTAAGCCTTGTGTGCCATACTTTCCAAATCATGTGCCAGCTCTTGCAGGCTCTCCCCTTTAGCACAGACTCTCATCCTAAACCTAGCCCTGTTAGCTTCAGACTGATTTTGAGTTCCATACCTGAGTTCTAAAGCAGCTACCAGTGCTCTATAGTTGTGCCTGTCATCTGCTGACAACTGTCCAAGCATTTCCAGTGGTTGTCCCTTCAGGCTTGTTGCCAAGTGCACTGCTTTCTGCTCCTCTGTCCATCCATTCATTTCTGTCAGGAGCTCAAATTGTGCTCTATATGCTTCCCATGGTGCCTTCCTATCGAATTCCTGTCTTCCTTCGTACTAGATCACCCCTATTGCTGACACACATATCTGGAATGTGACTTTTGGCAGGACTGAAGATGTCTGCATTAGGGTTTAGCTGCGGAGTCTGGAAGGGGCTTCCTGTAGTCTGGAGATGATTATGCCCATGGCTAATATATCCTCCCTGTGTAAAATACAGTAAATCGTCCTGTAATGTATTTAATGCACTTTGAAATTTACTCATCTTTTCCATTTGTGTATATTGGCTTTCTCTCAACTGTTGGAGACTTTCTTCTTGTTTATTTTCTTTCTCCTCCAACCACTGCTGTAGTCTCTCTTCTTGTTCATTTTCTTTCTCCTCCAACCACTGCTTGTAGTCTCTCTTCTTGTTTCTTTTCTTGTTCTTCTTGTTTCTTTTCTTTTTCCTCCAACAACTGCCATAATCTCTCTTGTTTATTTTGCTGTTTGAGCTGCCACTGTTGCAGGTTTTCTTGCCACTACTGTTGTCTCTCTTCTTGTTTCTTTTCTTTTTCCTCCAATAACTGCTGTAATCTCTCTTCTTGTTTCTTTTCTTTTTCCTCCAAGAACTGCTGAAATCTCTCTTCTTGTTTTTTCTTTTTCCTCCAACAATTGCTTGTTAACTGTTTGTTAATTTCTGGTATAAATTCTTTCTGAGGACATTTAGCGATACAAGTCCTTTCTTAATTAAAACTAGTTTATTCTTTCTCGGTACAACTTTGTAATATACAGAATTTCCACAGTCACTTTAAACTTAACAACCTTTATAACACATGTTATAAATCACAGTGATTCAGACACTTTACTTACAGTGCCTACTGTTCACCTGACTCAATTATCTCTATCTTCAATCTATCTATATCTCTTCTATTTATCTGCCTATCATGCTGGTTTTACTCGCCAGGCTTATATATTAAAAAAAAGGGCGTCTCGATTGCACTCGGGCCTTCATGATCCTTCTAGAAACTCATCACGTGTTACCAGCATCACATGACTTCCGCTGTCGTAACATATTTTTTGTGCAACTGCCATTATTTTGAGTCACATACTATGTTCAAAAAGTTATAGAAAACCCTAAAACATTTTAAGAGAAAGAAAACTAGTGGAAAAATCTATGTATTCTACTTTGCCTTGTTTACAAATAGGAAATTTTTGTACTTTACTTAACATCTGCACAAAAGGACATTTTTTTTACTAACAGAAAAATTACAACCTCACTTCAGATATAGTGCACTATATAGTAATATATTTTCATCATCTAGCAGTTTAGGTCAAATGAGTATAGAATTAACATAAATCACATACTCTACTATCATCTATACATTTTGTAATTCAAAACTAGAATAAAATAATTTTTATTATGTAGTAGTAAGTATTTCATAGTTTTATAGTTTAAAAATAT